CAACTCCAGTAACTCGAGTATTCTTGAGATTTTATTCTTTTTCTATTCAAAATATAAGATTTGTATTTAAACAAGAAGATTCACATCCAAATTACAACATTAGTTTATGTCCCGATTCACCCAACCAATTGACAACACACACACACACACACCCCCCATCATGCCTGCACCACTGTAATCATCGACACATGTTTACAGCTTATACATCAAAACAATTCCTCTTCATATAATTAGTACAATAGTATTCATAAAATATAAGTAGATAAATAATAATAATAAACTGAATGAAAATAAAATAAATAAAAATAAAACTAAAAATAAAAAAAAATAAAAATAAAAATAAGATGAATAAATTGGAAAAACAAAATCAAACTAATTTTTCTCCATAGGCAACCTTGAATCCAATCATCAAATAATAATTAAACAATTTAAATTCGTTCTTATTTTCAGTTATGACTTCGATTAAACCGTCATAGAGGGAGGGATTAAGGTATTCTTACCGAAGTCAGAAGCTGACCATGCTGTCCCAAACAGCCGCCGATCGTAACCCTCTTCCGTGTCCCCTATTTCTTTCTGTAGCCACCCTCTATCGGCTACGGTTTTGGGGCCAACAATAGTGAATCTTAAATACCCTTCCTTGATTAATCCCAATAGTTCGATCGAGCTCGCGTGGTGCAATGGAGGTCGTTCGATTGGGGGGGAATCATTAAGGGTATTTATAGCATTTCTATCCATGAGCGCTTCTGACCATCATATATTTTCCTAACAAATCGAGGCCATCTATTGCGCAAATCGTTGGATTAGCTCGCGATGGGATCAGGGTCGTGCACTTGGTAGCCCGCGGATCGCCAGCGTGGCAGTCACGCGTGGAGCATCTGATGTCACAATTGTCACGCGACACGATCTGATTAGTCACGTCGGTGAGTCAGTCAACTTGCATGGCTTATTTTTCTAAAATTGTAAAATGTCCCATAGTCACCTAAAATCTTTACAGATGAGTCCTTTTTAATTATCAAATGACCCTGACTTCAAAATTTAATTCTAAAAAGTTCTTAAATTGATTATTTTACTTTCTTCCACATTTTTGGTGGATTTCAATATTTAATTTACTAATCTATTTATTTTTAAATTGTAAAATGCCGTATAAATAAATCTTACACTTTATTGAATCATGAATATTAAAACTCTCCCCCCTTGAAAGAAAATTTGAACCTCCAAATTGCTGTAACACATCAAATAAGTGAGAGTGTTTAGCTTCTAAAATCTTATTCCAGTTCCTACTTAGCTTCATCCTCATAGTATTTTTTTTTTTCATAAGACTTTGACAAAAGAAATTATTTTTTTGCGAATGACCTTTTCCTTTCGATCTAAGATGCGGATGGGTATATCTTTATAAAATAGATCATCTGAAAGTGGAAGTAGCTTGAAGGATAAGACTAACAAGAGATTGTGGTTATACTTACGCATCATGGATACATGGGAGACATTATGAACTTTAAATAGTTTTAGTAGCAATGTTATCTTGTAAACAGACGTATCAATCATGTCCAAAACCTCAAATAGTCCAATAAATTGAGAGTTTAGTTTCCCTCTCTTTCCAAACATGGCGATATCCTTGAGAGGAGTGGCTTTAAGAAAAACGCAATTACCTACCTCAAATTTTAAATTCCTCTTTCGGGTGTTTGCATAAAATTTGTTATCTATTTTGAGATGTTTGGATATTTTTCCTAATTTTTGTGATTTTAATTGTGGTTTTATCTACTAGATTCGAACCGATCAACTTTTTATCTCCTACTTTCTCCCAACAAATTGGTGATCTGTAGGACTGATCATACATCCTTCATAAGGGTCATGCCGATGTTATTTGATAACTGTTGTTATAGGTAAACTCTATTAATGACAAATGATCATTCCAATGGCCTTCGAAATCTAAAACACTAATCTCAGTATGTCTCTAATGTAGGAATGGTTCTTTCATACTGACCATCTATTTGAGGATGAAATGTTATACTGAAAGATAACTTAGTTCTCATGACTTGTTGAAAGCTTTCTAAAAATCTAGAGGTAGATATAGGATCTCTGTCTAATATCGCCGATACAGGAACCCCATGTCGTCTAGTTATCTCCCTGATGTAAATTCTAGTCAACTTGTCCAATAGGTTTGTCATTTCATAGTTTCTCAACTAGCGTTGTGGCCTAAACAATCTTTGGGTAATCCCATCACAAAATCTATTGTAATATATTTTCATTTTCATTTAGGGATTGACAATGATTAAAGTAGCCCACCTGGTCATTGTACTCTACTTTAACTTGTTGGCAGGTAAGACACTTAGAGGCAAACTCAGTAATATCCTTTTTTTCATACTACTCCACAAAAATCAGGGTCGTATGTTTTGTTATATTTCGGTATTACTTGGATGTATAGTGAACTTCAAGCTGTGAGCCTCTATCATACTATTTCATTGTAACTTGTTATTATTAGAAACGCGCAACCTGTCTTGAAACCTAAGCAACTCATTTTTAGAAACCTGAAATTCTGGCTTCAAACTCTATTCTATGTCCTTTAGGATGACTACTAATGTGGGATCAGTTAACTGAGCCTCCTTAATCCTCTAAGGGTTAAATATTACACATTTACTTCCCAATACAGCAACTGATTACTCTTAGGTATGTCCCCAAGATATGATTCGTTAGTTTGTTGTATTCTCATTTATTCCTTGTTGGTTTAAAAAACATTCTTCTGTGTGTTTAAAATTTAATTTCTGAGTGTCTACTTGAGGATCCATCTTGATGTATTTGTATAACTTACAAATTTTATGTTCCAATTTAAGAATAAGGAAACAATATGTGAGGGGTATTTAGGCTAAGGGTTCTGTTGTTAGAACATATTAGCAGAGATATTCTTTCTTTAGGAACTTAATTTAGGAGGGACAAGGTCCTTCAATAAAGAGTTTCTGATCAAGTAGACTTTTCTTAAGATGTTTAGCTATGTGTTGAGAATAAAACATAATGACAAATGGCTAATGAAAGTTTAGTGTGGTTAATTTACGTCATATGAATTTTAGTAATAATCGTATGGATCTACAGTGTCTTTTTCTTTCTCTTTTTTTTTTTCATGGTTGGTCAGATTCAACGAACATAACTTTATCGATAGTTGGGAAAATTT